CCATGAATTCTTTTCCTCTCCTAGCTAGAGACTACTAACATACCTTGGATTATGGCCACATCACACCAATTCCTACTTCTGTTGTCACATGACCTTCTTCCAGCTTATACCTTTTTGCCTCCTTCTTAAAAGGCCTTTAATGATTACATTTAGACCCCACCTGGATCATTGAGGGTCATCTCCGCATCTCAAAATCCTTAAATCAATCACATCTGCAGAGTTTCTTTTGCCATATCAGATAATATATTCACAAGTCCCAGGAATAAGAATGTGAATCTATTTGGGTGGCCATTATCCATTCTACTACAGGCAATAATAAAAATTATGATAATAGCTATCATTACTAAGTGTTATTCATTACAGTAGGCACTTTACATGCATTATATAGCCATCTTTCTCTCTCACTCTCTGCAAGATGGTAATGATTAAGGATGATATTTAAAATATTTAAAAACTTGTACATCAGGGCTGCGTAACTCTTCCCTTGCCGGATGAGAGAGCTCCGCATGGCCCCAGAAAAGCCACCTGGAAGGTCACATTCTGCATATTGGAGAACATTGATAGCATTATCAGCCTTGGTAGTAGCTTACTGAGCATGCCCTGGCGACAGGCCTTCTGCTAGTTTTTGATAAGTAAAAATAAAATAAATAATTGACTTGAAGACAGAAAAAAAATAAATAAATAATTTTATGGTTGGGTCACAACTTGAGGAACTGTTCTTAAAGGGCCAGAAGGTTAAGAACCACTGATCTATAGGAATTAGAACTCAAACCCTATCTTTTTATAATAACTACCTTATTAGAGTTAAAAAAAGATAATGGCTAAATATGTTTCCTGAGAACTGTGGGCAAAAATCTGAGATTTTTTTTCTACCACTATTAAGATTTTTTAATTTTAATTTAAATTCTTTATTGTTTAAAGTATTATATAAAACTATTAAGAACTTAAAACATAACAGCTTTAAGAACTCGGGTGTTGAGGCAAACTGTATCCCATCCCTACATTCTGACAATAGCCTGTGTTTACAAAACAATTTATATGATGTCAATAAAAGACTTTAGTAAAGAATATAAAAAACAACACGTGAATTATTTAAAATCTCTTTAGCCATATTTAGGTCTCATTTGCCTCAAATCTTTTTTGGAACAAGTAAGCACACAAGTATTTTTCCTTACAAGTGAGTAAACTCGACAATTTAACTTATTAGCAACAATTCAGTGAGATAATAAATTTTAAAAGTTATTATTCTGGAAACAAAGTGTTTCTTTGCCTTAATTTCTGTTGATGGAATGAATTATCTCAAAGCCCAACCTTTGTTAAATTATCAGAAGTTACCACTTACGCATTCTCTTCATCAAAATTGGCCCGTTTAGATCCAATTTTATAGAAAGAAGGGAGCTGTGGTGGAGCTGACTTCCCAAATCCAGAAGAAGAGCTGGTTGCCCCAAAGGCACTGTGGGACTGTTGTGGGAGTTTTGGTTCTTCCTTCTTTCCAGCACTAATGGCAAAACCTCCAAAGCCAAATCCCCTTTTAGTGCCAGGGCCACCTTTATTCCAGTTCATGGTGTCAATGATTGATCTGTTAGGAACAAGATACATTAATAGAAAATTAATTTTATAAAGTAAATAGCCATTGACTTTATGTCTCTCCCAACCTCTACCAACAATTTCATTCTCAACTTGTGCCTCTCAATTAACTTTAACTTTATACTTCAGATATGCAGTATGCTAACTTCAATGAAATGGTCACATTTTCTAAAACACTGAAGACATTTTTATTTTACTGGACTCTCAATCTAAATGGGATGCAGCATTTAATATCATCCCCTTTAAAAGGATTTGATTGCTAATTTAATATTTGTTAAGCTGCAAAAATACTCCTAAGACAACTAATATTTTGGAAGATCAATTGAAAAGACTTAAGCTCTTAAATTTTATCCTCAAGAGGTTTACAGTCTACCAGGAAAACAGGCAAAAAGAAAAACACACAAAAGCCACTAAAACAATCTACAATTAATGTAATGCTTGCTATAACAGAGACTGAGGTGCTATCAGCAATGCTGTCTCAAAATTAACGATTTTCCTCTGGTAATGACACCTTGAAGATTCAAAGAATTAAAATTTAAAAAATAGTAATTTGTAGAAATTACCTATGTTATTATCTCTGAAGGGTTCTTGTGAACCATGCATTTATTTAGCAAATGCACACTAGAACACTAACTAGGAAGAAACCCCTATTCATTGATATGTTGCCTAATGTGTTCAGTTAATCCTATGGTTAAGGATTACAAAGAAATTTCCTGAGCTTCAATTCAATCAAATTAAAAACAATATTTTATAGCATCTTATTAGTCTTGGCTCCAAAAAAAATGTTTTTATATACATAAGTTTCCTAAGTTTTGTAGAAAAGCAGGAAGCTCAGAAAGCACAAAGGGACAAAATTTAAAACTACCTGAAATTTCCTCTCCCAGATATGTAACTTTGCTGATCTCTTTTGCTATGTATTCTACTCTATTTTTGTTGTTGTTGTTGCTAATACTCACTCTAGGATAGTTTTCCATTGACTTTTAGAGAGAGTTGAAGGGAGGGGGAAAGACACAGAGAGAAACATCTATATGAGAGAGACACATTGATTGGTTGCCTCCAGCACAGGACAGGCATCTAAGATATGCAACTAAGGTATGTTCCCCTGACAGGGATCCAAGTCAGGATCCTTCAGGTCAAAGGCCAAAGCTCTATCCACTGAGCCAAACCAGCTAGAGCTCTCCACTATTTTTTAAGTTGTATACACACACACACACACACACACACACACACACACACACACACAATTTGAAACAAAATAAAATCATACTGTACATTTAGTTACTGATTTCCTCACCTAATGATACACTATGAACATCTTTGAATATCAATAAATACATTTCTCTACTACTGTTTTATAATGTTGTGAAACATCATATAGCTCTATCTTTGTGTACCCTGATTTCGTTAGGATCCTTTTTTAAAATCTAATTGCTTAGTCAAAGGGAAAATGCATTCTAATTTAAAAAATGTTTAATTACAACTTACATTTATGGAAAAGTGTCCATTACACATTAAGTCAAATAAAAAGGACATAGAACAAGGTGGACGATATGATTCAACATAATTCAATGTAAAAGCATGTGTAACATATCCAGAGATAGCTGGAGGGCTGTTAATCAAAATGTTAACTGCAGTTACTTGATTTTTACTTTCATGTTTGTATTAAAGTTTACAACTAATAATAAAAATTAAAATACTTATAATGGGCTCTGAAGCAAATGTAGAAAGAGTTCCGAAAATGGCTCTTTATGATGACGGACCAAGAACAACATGCTCTACTTTTCTGCTTCTCTTCCCCCCCCCTCCCCCGCATATATCTTACAGGTTTTGTAATACTTAGTTCAGTTTTAGGATTAAATTTGATTTATGCTATGCCAATCTTCAA